CTCCTATCCCTCTTGTATTGAACTGTATTGTCTCCCAGTATATTGTAAAGTGCTGAGCAAACTATTCGCGCTATATAAATCCTGTATAATAATAATAGTACAAAAATTAGAAAAGCAGCAGACTTGCTGTCTAGATCACCAGATGAAACTGAAGAAAGAAAGCCTAAGACATTTTTGAAAAAAAAACTACTTGTCCAGGGACTAAATTGGGGTCCCAATCTACTTGTCCCTCATGACTTGTCCAGATAAAAAAAAAAATATTTTTAACTAAAACTGTATTTAAATCTGAGGTGATTTTAGGAAATGTCTGGGGCTTTTAAAATCAAAAGCAGCTTTACGGTGACCTAGACATTTAATATTTTTAACATTGCGCTGTTTATCTCTTCCTCCCCTCCCTGCCTGTCTCCAGCACCACACCCGGGGACTAGAAGGGAGGAGAGAGACCTTCCAGTGTAATGAGCACCAATTGGGTGCTCGTCCTGAAAAGCGAGTGTCGGGCTTATCCTTTATCCCCTTTGCTTCCAGAGCCGTTTTTGCGTTGTTTTCACAAGTTTAAAAGATCATTTTAGGCCTGAAGAATACACAAAATCCCCAAACATTATTTTAAAAAAGCTGCGACCCTAGAGCATAAAATAGTGGTAGTTCCAATTTTTTTATGTCGCATAATATTACCGATATTACCGCAAAAGTTCAGTAAAAAATATGTTAATTTTAGAGTGCAATAAATTACCCTATTTTTAAGTATACCCATGTAAACGAGGTCCCTTTTTTCGAAGATGCTGTACAAAAAAAAAAGGTGTTAAAAACATAGGGCAAGCAATACGTAAAACACGTAAGAATGACAAGTACATAAAGAAAGTTCACCAAAACTTCTAAAGCTAGAGTAGGATTGTTGTATGTCCATTTTAGGTTTAGCAGGGTTTATTTATTTTTTATTTTTGAAGCAAGCTAATGTTACTTCTCTAATTCTGGCAAAAACACATCATACAATTCCTTGTGATGTTATTTGACAATCATTTTTTAGTTTTATTTTCTATTTGCTACACTACAGTGGTAGCTCAGCAGTCTTCCTGTGCAATTATTCTGGCAGACCCTCAAGCTATGAACTATAATCCAATGCCAGATACACAAGTACATTTGTTGACACAAAGCTCTCTCTGCAGCAGCGCAGCCACTTAACACGCAGCACTGGACTCACGGATCGCTTTACCATCATAGATGCCCAAGGGCATTAGCAGCACCAGGCAGTATGCTGGACATAAGTTTGCTGTCAATGCATCACATCAGCTGTACTGAAATGGGAGCACGGCCTCCCAGCAACACGCTGCAAATGAAGATACAGAGAAACTCACAGCAGTAAATTATTTCAGCAGAGAATAACACCATCCATTTTGTCAAGGTTCTGTTTATCATACCATAGTCAATGCAGGCATGCTTTTCATTTTTGCAAAGCATATCAGTGTCTGAAGGACTACTAGCTAAATCACTATGTCAAAAGATAGTAGCAATGCCATTTCTCTGCAAAAAAAAAAAAAAAAAAAAAAAAAAAAAAAAAAAAAAAAGTGCTTTTGTAAGAACTGTGGGGGAACTCAATGTCCTTATGGAACTTTTCTGGTGTTATGCTCTTTAAAACCTGTTCCAAATTCAAAAAAGCCCTGCCACCAGTTTAGTAACTTTAGTGACACGTCAAGCAGATTCAGATTTATTTATTACAGATACTTATATAGCGCCGTCAATTTACGCAGCGCTTTACATATATATATATATATTGTACATTCACGTCAGTCCCTAACCCTCAAGGAGCGTACAATCTAAGGTCCCAAACTCACATTCATACATACACATACTAGGGCCAGTTTAGACAGGATACAATTAACCTACCGGCATGTCTTTGGAGTGTGGGGGAAACTGGAGTAAACGGAGGAAACCCACACAGGCACAGGGAGAACATGCAAACTTTAGGCAGGTGGTGCCGTGGTTGGGACTCGAACTAGTACTGCCAGGCGGAAGTGCTAACCATTTAGCCATTGTGCTGCCCACGATAGTTCAGAGCTCTTACAAAGTGGTAATATGTTTACCAAATTCAAAAGAAATTACCTCCAGTTTGTAGATAGTGAAACTGGTAGTTAATTATGACCTACCAAAACTTGACTTGCAGAGTGCCTGTCTCCATACTCTGTGTAGTAGAGTGACCTCCCTGTCTGCAATTAGTTGTGAAGGTCACTGTCTGCTTCACATCTGACAATGACAGTAGGTGTAGCCTGATAGGGAGCTAGCCCCTCAGCTTATCTATCAGGTCCTGTTTGTTCTGCAGTGCACTATACATAATCTCAGACAGTGCACCATCCACATGTGTTTATCTACTGCTTCACTGCCAACAAGAAACAGGAACTTTTTTCAGGAAGAAGGCAGAGTATAGTAATAGATGCAGATACAAACTTATAAACACTGCCATCTACTGGCTAAAGAATATATCTCTACTGAATACTGAAGTAGTTGTTGCAAAATACATGAATACTTCATTCCAAACAGGTCTGCTCTCTCCTTTTAATGGACAGTGTGTGGATTTAATTGCGTTTAGCAGGCTGTCTATTGGCTATAGATCTGCCTGATGCCTGCTGTTAATCACAATAGGAGCAGACCTGATGGGAAGCTAGTGTCTTTGAATCCCCATCAGGCTCAGGGCACCCAGGTACAAAACTCATTGGTTGCTGTGATGTCATTGTGAGAGGTGCAGTGGCAGGAGTGGGAGCTCAGCTGCACTGAGGACAGATTGTTCAAATGGACACATCTGTATCAGTGCACCTCCACATGCAGTAATTGCCCCAAATTCATGTACCCATTTCACCCAAATCAGATAGTCACTATTCTGGTATCCAGACAGTTGTGGGTGCTGTGGCAGTCTGAATACAATAGTTGGCAGAGGATATTAGATTTAAAGAATATGTAAACCCAACATTTCATATATCTGATATGTGCCTGCTGCTGTGCCATGTACTTGTATAAAAAAGTATCCTGTTCTCTTTGTATTTCTTAGTTTGTATGAAATCTCTGGTGTTTCTGCCAGTCCCTCTGCTTTCCTATTTAAAAAAACTGACCACACTAGGCATGTGAGCACAGAGTGCTCAGTTTTCTAGTTGTGCCAGGAGCTGATCCAATGATTAGGCTTGTGCCGACATGCTTCCTCTCCCCTTAACACCCCCCCCCCCTTTGACATTCACTGGAAAGGCAGCTGCCCCCTCCCCCCAGCTCTCTAAGCGCCTTATGCATCTGAGAACAGAAGTTATGTGATCACTTGCATAAAAGGGGAAAAAGGTATTTATAATGCTTTTTATATGTGGGCACACAGTGGCCAAATGGTTAGCACTTCCACCTGGCAGTACTAGGGTCGTTGGTTCGAATCCCAACCAAGGCACCACCTGCCTGGAGTTTGCATGTTCTCCCTGTGCTTGCATGGGTTTCCTCCGGGTGCTCCGGTTTCCTCCCACATTCCAAAGACATGCCGGTAGGTTAATTGTATCCTGTCTAAATTGTCTCTAGTATGTGTATGTATGAATGTAAGTTAGGGACCTTATATTGTAAGCTCCTTGAGGGTTTGGGACTGATGTGAATGTACAATATATATATGTAAAGTGCTGTATAAATTGACGGTGCTATATAAGTACCTGTAATAAATAAATATGTATACACGATTTTGCCTTTCATTTCTATTTTAAACTGAATCAATTGCTTTACAAGGTGAGGGTTCACTTATACTTTAAAACTTCACTCCCTTCAATCAAGATTGGCTATTTGTAATCCTTATGCAGCTATTAGTAAATAGATATACTTTACTATCATATTTACTTGTTTTAAACTTTTTTTTTTTACATTTCCCAAGGTATTTCAGGGTTTCCATGCCTAGGCAAATTATGTCATACATCCCAGGAGCCTTCAGGAGGGGAGGGAGGGTTCTCAGCTCAGCCACTGCCAGAGCTAAGGGCAGATGGATTCCAGGAAGTAAATGCTCATGAATCATCTGCCCTTACTCAAAATGGCCACTGCCAGAGATTCCAGGGGGTGTTTTTTAAAATGAATTCAGCATCTTTGGTTTGTGGTGCTTAGATTCAGTGCAGTTCCACTTTAATCTATGCATGTATGGACAGCATTAGGCTACATTTACACTAGCCTTATGCATTTGTATTTGTTATTGTATTTTCTCTAAATGCATCTAACTGAATGTGCCGAAACACAGGTAAATGTTCAATATGAATTCTAGCAATAAAAATGATTGCATGTCTTTATATGACTATTTTATTGCCAGTGTGAATGAAGCCTTACATGGGGCAATGTTCCAGAAGAGAATTCAAAAAAACCCCCAAGAATACAGCCAATTTTGTTTACACAAAAGAAGTTGAGGACATACTTCAATATTGTGCGTCATTCCTGTTTTCAAATGTCACTTGCAGCATAGGTTTCTAAACCTTTAACTTCTCTCATCTCTCACAAACCTCTGCATTACTAAAATGAATGTGCTACCAGCACAGCATCTGCATACAAATATATGACACACCTTAAAGGGCACACACATTTTTAAAAATTAAATCAAAGATAATCAGATAAATGTAGATAATCTTATCAAAACTTTGTTTTTGAGTATAGTTTTTAATTACATGTTTACTTGGCAGTGACCATACATTCTCATTACTTAACCACTTGCCTACCGGGCACTTATACCCCCTTCTTTACCAGGCCAATTTTCAGTTTTCAGCGCTGTCGTACTTTGACAATTGCGCGGTCATGCAAGATTGTACCCATATGAAATTTTTATTATTTTTTTCTCACAAATAGAGCTTTCTTTTGGTGGTATTTAATCGCCGCTGGGCACTTTACTTTTTGCACTATAAACAAAAAATTGCAAAAAATTTGAAAAAAAAAAAAAAAAGTTTGTTTCGATTATAAAATTTTTCAAACAGGTAATTTTTCTCCTTCACTGATGTGCGTTGATGAGACAGCACTGATGGGCACTAATAGGTGGCACTGTTAGGCAGCACTAATGAGGTGGCATGGATAGGTGGCACCGATAGGCAGCACTAATAAGGTGTCACGGATAGGCGGCACTGATAGGTGGCACTGACTGGCATCACTGCTGGGCACTGACTGGTACAACCACTGGGCACTGACTGGCTGCACTGGTGGGCACAGGTGGGTGGCACTGGTGGGCACAGATCATCAGGGCACTGATCATCAGTGCCGATCCCCGCTCTGACAACTGCCGGTTCTCGGTAGTACTTTCCTCACGCTCTGACAGCGTGAGGAAAGTGCAGCCGAGAACCGGCAATTGCATTTCCCGGTGATCAGCATGTCATTGGACACGGCTGATCATGAGGTAAAAGGCCGCTGTGATTGGCCTTTTACCACATCACGTGATCAGCTGTATCCGTAGGACACAGCGATCACGGAGATCGCCAGGTGCGCGCCCAGAGCGCGTTCTGGGAGGACGTCATATGACGCCCTCCCAGAACTGGACGGCCGCAGTGTAGCTGTCCTTCGGCCATCTGCGGTCGGCAAGTGGTTAAACAGGTTCTACTTAATCCTGATCCTCTTACACCATTGATGAGGCTCGATTGAAAACATCTGACTCTCTAACGTCTCTAATAATGTCAAACATCCACGATGCACAATTAGCAGGACACCAAGTCATCTTTTGCCAAGCCAAGAAAGTGGTAGTATTTTACTCAACCTATATTTCTTTGTAATGTGAACAGGTTTCCTGAGGTTTGATATGAAGGCAATTTTTAATGATGGTTCTACCTTAATTTCTTCTCCATAAAGCCAAATCCCTCTTTCATTCTCTCTTCTATAAGTCCTCATGCACACTGGACGTTTTTGCATCTGCTGTTTTTGGCATTTTTTTTTCTGAAGCCAGTAAACTCCTCAGCATGTTATCCTATGTGTCCATGCACACAGACTGTAATCAACGTTTTTTGGCTGCGTTCCCCACTGACAGCTGAATGTGTAAAAAAAAAAAAAAAAAAAAAAAAAAAAAAAAATGCTGGCAATTAAAAAATTATTTTAAAAAAATAGCGTGGGGTCCCTCCCTCCATCCATACCAAGCCCTTCAGATCTGGTTTTGATTTTTAAGAGGGAACCCCCACGCCAAAATAGTAAAAAAAAAAAAAAAAAACCCACACATGGGGGTCCCCCCCCAAAATCCATGCCAGACTCTTATCCAAGCATGCAGCCCAGCAGGTCAGGAAAGAGGAGGGGGCAAGAGCGAGCGCCCCCCCCCCCCCTCCTGAACCATACCAGTTCACATGCCCTCAGCATGCCCAAAGCACCTTGTCCTCATGTTGATGGGGACAAGGGCCTCTTCCCCACGGGTTGACCCCGCCCCCGTGTGACATTGACCAGGGCATGCGTGGTTACATACGTGATGGCCCCACCCCTTACATATTTAAGAACTGTCAAACCAGCTCAAAGGCAGACGGCTGGGGGCCAGCGTCGGTAGCGGAGCCTTTTTTTTTTCTCGGAGCGATGGGCATCGTGATTGACGCTGGATCTACTTCGAGGGGACATTCTTTTAATTTTCCTTCTTTTAATAAAGGACTTGTAAAAGAATGTCTCCTGTCTTTTTTCACACTATATTTTTTTTTGTGAATGAGTAGCAGTACTATGTACCCCATACTCATTCACATGGAGGAGGGGTGGGATCTGGGGGCCCCTTCCAGATTCTGATAAGCTCCCCACACGCAGACCCCCCCAAAACCACAGCCCAGGGTTGTGTGGAATAGGCCCTTGTCCCCATCAACATGCAGACAAGGTACTTTGGGGGGGGCATCGCTCCAAAGCACCCCCCATGTTGAGGGCATGTGGCCTGGTATGGTTCAGGAGGGGGGGGGGGGGGGCTTGCTCCTGACCTGCTAGGCTGCATGCTCGGATAAGTGTCTGGTATGGATTTTGGGGGGGGGGGGAACCCCGTGCCATTTTTTTTTTTTTTTTACGTTTGGCGTGGGGGGCTCTCTTAAAAATCCAAACCAGATCTGAAGTGCTTGGTATGGATTGAGGGGGGGACACCACGCCATTTTTTTAAATTATTTTTTAATTGGCAGCAATTTCTTTTTTTTTTTTACATTCAGCTGTCAGTGGGGAACCCTGCTGACAGCTGATGACTAAAAATGGATGGAAAAAAAATGGATGGAAACACCCATGTGAAGGGACCCTAAGCCACTATGTCAGTCCCTAAGGCAGCACTCTTACAATTGACTGATTTCTAACTGTAATGCTTTCTCATTTTATTGTAAGTTTAGATAAAGTGGGGAAGAGTTGAAATAAATTCTGAGACATTTTCATTTCAGTCTGTAATACCACAGGGGATTTTTTTGGTGGAATGGGGAATTTTTTTTTCACTTCTCATTCTTGTGATGCCAGTGCAAAAAATAGGAGGAAGACTTGTCAACAGGAGGAAGACTTGTCAACAACAGAACAGAAAGACACAAATATCAATACAAACATTTTTGTCAGTTCTAACCCTTTCCCATTCAAAATGCGTGTTTATATTTGTGTCCCTACTAGTGATCTTATTTACTGTCATTACAAACAAATTAGGGAAAATTCCCCCCCCCCCAATAAGGATACAAACAGCAAACAAAGCCTAACAGAGACAAAGTAAACATTTTGGTTAGAGTTGAGCTTTAAAGCAATATTGCATCATAAGATGAGATGCAGAGGTGTGTGTCTTGTCTTTATTCAATGCCACTAGGGGCTTTTTTAATGCACTGGGCCATTTTCTCCTCTCTAGAGATATTTCAGGTGATCAGTAGAGATCCTTTCCAGAATCCAACTTTCCATTTTCATGTGCATGCACAGCCCGGCCAATGAGCCCCCTTGTTCTTAGGCTGGCCATACACTACAATTTTCTGTCCAATTTCCTTTAGATTTACCTTCAATTATGTAGTGCAAGGGCCTACCTAATTGGATAGAATTGAAAGTGTTGTTTAGGTTTGACCTCATATTAAATGGTTTTTGGTAAATCTAAAGCAAAATTCTAAAGAAAAATTGTCTAATATATGGCCAGCCTTAGTCCTGTATTTCTCTGTACACCACTCTGCAAATGCATCTCTGAACATCAACAAAGCACAATTGATTTGTGACTTGGCTGCATACAAATTACACCTGGGAGTTACATTACATTCACTTTGAATACTCCAATCAACATACTGTTTCATTTACAATAAAAACATCTTACTCTCTCAATCATTGGTTAACCCTAGACATATAGTGGTGTTTTTTTTTTCTCCTCACCCCTTTCCTAAAGTATTAGTTCACCTTTACTTCATCTTTATGTTTTTTTTCTGTAACACCAGACACCATCCCTACTCCCATAGTCGTGTACGTATTTCCAGGGTTGCAGAGCTGTCAGCATCCCCACAGCTTTTCCAGTGGCCCACTGATTTAAAATCCCGATTCTTCTCCGTCAGCGCCTCCAGGATGGACAAGATCAATTTCAATCGGTCAGCACCATCACACTGATAGACCTGACCACTCATAATCCATCTGGTCTGTCCTGGAAGAGCTGACAGAAGAGGAAGAAATTAGAGAATTTCAGAACACTAGAGCACTTGTCAGGGTGCTGGCAGCTCAGCAACCCCAGAGGTAAGTACAGCGGGGACCAGAGGCTGTGGGGAGTGTGTCCGATGTTCACCTTTACATTTTTTCTGTAAATCTGAACTAACTTTTTTACAATTACATACTCCCAAGACCCAATAGAGCAGTCCAATTTGTCCCTATACCCTCTTCACTAAACTGCAAAAATACTTATCATAAGCTGCCCTATTGGGTATCAGTATTCCTTCAAAAGATGTCAACAGTTTGATGGATAGCTAGAACAGAACAGCCAAAAAAAAAAAAACAAACAAACAATTGGGGATTATATTTATATAAAAACAGCAAATCACAAATACACAGGTTAGCTAGAACTAGTGACAGTTTTTATATTAGTCTGGTTATTCCATGGTTTTGTGCAAACACGAAATCAAGGTGCAGTTACCAACATTGTTATTTGCATATCATCTAACACATCAAGTTTATAATAGAACTACTAGGGTTGCACCCATATTGTACCAGTATCGGTACAGATACTAAGCATTTACACAAGTGCTTGTACTCGTGCAAATGCTGCGATATCTAAAACCGATACCTTTGCAGTGCGATCTGAGCCCATACAAAATGAATGGGCTCACATCGCATTGCAAAGAATCACATGTGATTTGGACAAGATTGCGGTATGAGAAGTCAAGGTTTGTCTACGTGCCTTCAGCCTGGCTTCACACAGGAGCGGTGTGGAAAACTGCATGTGATTCAGACAGGAATTGCACCGCATCCCTATTCAAATCACATGCGATGCTTTGCAGTGCGATTTGAGCTCATTAATTTTGTATGGGCTCAAATCGCACCGCAAAAGGTATCAGTAATTGGTATTGGTGAGTACTTGAGCACAAGTATCAGTACGCATACTAGTCGGTAAAAAACAGGTATCAGCACATTCCTAAAAAATACTAATTAGAATGTAAGCTCTCATGAGCAGGTCTCTCCTAAGCCTCATCTTGCATTTTATTGTAACTGTATTGTATCCCTTTATTTTGTATATCACTGTGCATAATGTCGGTGTTATACAATGGTAATAACAGGCGCAAGGAACCAAGGCAATAGTGGAGAAAATGTGTGGCCTGTGTAATAAAACATCCAGTAGTAAAACAGTCCACCTACTTGGCAAACGGTGTAGAGAGCGGAAGCTGACTCCAGTAACATGTACAACAGAAGTAGACAGCGCCTCTAAGTGTAGACTTCAGCAATTTGATAATGGTAAAAACAAGGGTAGGGACATTCAAATTTTCAGGGTGAAATAAAGGCTCATATGCTAAATGGGTGGCGGGACCATACGGATGTCAGGCTCAGTGCTGGGGCACAGCAGATGTACTGGCGACGTGGAACAGGGAAGCTGGCGGACACATCTATCCCTGGAAGCCAAGATGGAACACACCGTGGAGCACAGGTGTCTGTAGAGGTACAGCGTCATAACATCACCCAAGGGGAGGTGGAGAAGTGAGTGTCCTTACCCTTGTTTTAACTATCAAATTGCTAAGGTCTACACTTAGAGGTGCTGTGTCGTCTTCTGTTTTATATGTCAGTGTAATACAAATCCTGAAAAAATTATAAATTGTTACATTCTAATCTAAAAATTTTTTTTATTTATTCAGAGATCCAGCCCCACTCACCTATAAAACTTGGTTCACATATCCCCAAAGGATAGTCCCATTTAAGGCCTAATACATACTGGATGTTTTTCTCTCTCTCCTAGATATCTTTTCTCCAGGCATGGGCATTTTGGCAGAAAAAAAACACAAAGTGATACTAAAGCCTTGGCTTTTTTTCTTGGCTGCTCTGTGCAGTGGTTTTGCACAGAGCAGTCCCAATCCTCGTCTTCTTGGGTCCCCTGCTGGCGATTCTGGCTCCTTTTCCCCTGACCAGTGCCCCCATAGCAAGCGGCTTGCTCGTCCCCGAGTCCCACTCTCTGCATCAATAAGATAAAGCAGAGCGCGACTCTTCCCTGACCCTACTCCCTCCTCAAAGGCTGTAACTGCCAGCCAATGGCTCCCACTGCTGTGTCTCAGCCAATGAGAAAGGAGTGACCGGAAATGCCGAGTCTCCTGCACAAATCACTGGACCGAGCTCAGGGTCAGCTAAGTATTAAGGGGGGCTTGGGGCCCCTGCACACGGAATGTTTTTTACCTTCAAGCATACAATGCATAAAAAGGTAAAAAAAAAAACTTAAAGCCTTTAGAACCACTTTAATGCTTGTAAAAGTGTGTAACGCATTTAGGAGCATTTAGCCTCTTCAAGCCATTTATTCTTGAAATTAACGTTCAAGCGCTAAACACTAATGCACGTTTAGAATTGGCAAGCATTTTTTACTGCCAAAACACCGCTGCTCCTGGATGCAATGGCAGTGGGGTTTTTCTTGCCTCTAAATGCCTATGTGTGCACGTACACATAGACTAACATGCAGGAGTGCTTAGTGGCAGAAGAAAAAAAAAAAACCAAAAAAGACCACCAGACGCCCCTAGGAGCAGCTGAAAAAATATCCAGTGCGCATGAGGCCTAAAGTCTAGTACACATGATTAGAAAATTGGATGAAATATTCCACTTTTAAAGTAATTGTATGATAATTTGATCATTAGTACACAGCTTTCATCCAAAATTATTCAAAGCGACAAAATTTAAAAAATTTTTTGTATGATACCAGATCATATGATTTTTGTTTAAACGGTACAGTACCTATCTATAAAAAAAGAAAAATTCAGAACATCAAGCTCAGAAGTGAAAGAATACATTACAACACATTATATCACTTCCAAAGTTGTATTCCCCCTCCCTCCTAGATTGTGCCCCTCCCTCCTAGATTGTAAGCTCCAAGGAGCAGGGCCCTCCTATCCCTCTTGTATTGAACTGTATTGTCTCCCGTTATCTTGTAAAGCGCTGAGCAAACTGTTGGCGCTATATAAATCCTGTATAATAATAATAATATTCTGTTGTACTAGAATTTTCTTAACTGTAGTAACCTCTTCATTTTCAATATGAGACTAGCATGCAAGAAGGAAAAAAAAAAAAAAAAAAAAAAAAAACACGACAAGCATTCATCCGACATTCTCATTGTGCATACTTTAGAATCACTGCTTTACACAATGACTAGCAAAACTGTGCCTGTTCCTTAACCCCTAGACACCTAGTGCACTTAAATATGAGGCCTCTCGGCATCTGGGACTTGACGCTAAGCGGCCGCATATTTGTGTACCATTTGAAAATACATATGTGCTCAGAGCACGAACCCTGCATGCTCCCAGCACATATGTCCATGACTCACGGAAAGGTCCCAATCTCCCCTTGCGATTGGGACCTTTTCCGATCATGTGACCGCCGTGACAGCAAATCACGGCAGTCACATGACCCTAAAACCCCAGCCCCACCGCAAAGGAGTTAAACGGAGTGGAAGTCCCAAAAAAATGTTAGCTGTATTTATAGAAGGACTATGACTATTGGTATGAAGAATGTTATGCACACGTTAGTGAAAAAAAAATAAATAAAGTGGTATTGTATATAAAATGCAAAAAAGGAGTGGTATAGGGCAGTGGTGGGCAACCTTTTTTTTCAACTGAGCCAAATCTCACCAAAACCACGATTGAAATTTATTTTGAGAGCCACATTTTTAAAACTGAAAATACATAGGATGGTACACTGTTTTTTAGTTTCAATAAGTTTTTATAGTAATTCATCCCCCATAGTAATTCATCCCCCATAGTAATTCATCCCCCATATAGTAATTCATCCCCCATATAGTAATTCATCCCCCATAGTAATTCATCCCCCATAGTAATTCATCCCCCATATAGTAATTCATCCCCCATATAGTAATTCATCCCCCATATAGTAATTCATCCCCCATATAGTAATTCCTCCCCCATATAGTAATTCATCCCCCATATAGTAATACATCCCCCATATAGTAATTCATCCCCCATATAGTAATTCATCCCCCATATAGTAATTCATCCCCCATATATGTAATTCATCCCCCATATTAATTCATCCCTCATATAGTAGTTAAGTAAGTAGCAAGTAGTAAGTCAAGTCCCTCCTGTGTCAATTCACTTACCTTTGCTCCGCGCGTTCCTCTCGCCGTGCTCCCCGCGCCGTTCCGGTCTTCAGGGCGGACTGTGAGAGGAGCCTAGCTCCCCTCACGTTCGTCACGCTGCCCCGCCTACACACATCCTGACAGCCAATCACTAGCTATCAGGATGTGAGTGGCAGCGAGACTGGCCAATCATTGCTGGGCTAGCTGCAGAGTCCTCGGCACCCGAGAGGAGGGAGGGGAGCGGCCGCCCGAGAGGAGGGAGAGGGAGGGAGAGGGGAGGGGAGCGAGCGCCCGGGCACACAGAAGAGCCGCATTAAAATGTGTAAAGAGCCGCATGTGGCTCGCGAGGCGGCTTGCCGACCACTGGTGTAGGGTATTATACAGTATTTATATAGTGCCAACAGTTTGCTCAGCGCTTTACAATATAAAAGGGAGACAATACAGCAACAATACAAGAGGGATAGGAGGGCCCTGCTCCTTGGAGCTTACAATTTAGGAGGGAGGGGAATATATATAAGAGGGAGGGGAATATATAAACATATTGTGGCAATGTACATGCAGCACTCCACAGCATGTTATGTACAATGCAATGTATGGCACATGGTGTACCAATTTTAAACGCAGCACAGTATATAAAGAATGTTCTATACAGCACACCATATGGGATGGTGTCCACAATAGGTAATGTAATGTACAGAGCAGATTATGGAGGATGGTAATCCTCATTATGCTACATAGAGTATTATTTGCAACCCCCTACATATCACTCCTCAGCAGGCCCAGAGGGCTTCATATCCAAGTAAAAGACATATTGATCTACATATTGTAGCTATAAACCACATGAAGATCTATATAGAAAGGAAAATCTACATTTAGTATTTGAAATGTCAGCCCCGTATACAATCTGCCTATGTTAATGAGTCATACCAGAGTGATAGATCTGTAGTACGTAGAGGAAATCTAGCACCCTGTTATTCAGCTGTGCCATTTTCTATGAAGAACACAGTAACATTCACAGCCACCTTCCCTCAAAGATCCATAATCCTCTGGCTACGTACATAGCAGTTAGAACGCTGGGGGATGGGAGGCTGGAAGCAATGCTGTGTGAGAAATAAATACATAGAGAAAGAGGTGCAGGAGATTTTGGGGCAGTGCCCAGAATGCCTTGCATCCCCTCCTCTCTCATACAGCACACAGACAAAAGCAGACCCCACAGCTTGCAGATATAAACAGGGGGCTCGAGGATGTTGCCATGGAAGCAGACTGAGGAACCTAGTGATGGAACAAATTTGTGAAGCTCAATGATTAACAGAAAGCTACCTGTTAATAAACATGTCAAATACTGCTGATGTTTTCCTGAGCTAGTATGACGCTGGGAATGCCAAGTACACGGCACATAACATACAAACAAATGCCATTAAAGTATATGGTTTATTATTGCTATTTTTACAGCTGATGTGGACACTTCTCTACGGAGCTACTTCTCAATGTACAGAAGTCATTCTCCCCCTCCCGAGTCATGGGGTACCCACAGCACTGGCCCCACTTTCCTGTGTAGGGGTGGCTGCTTCACTTGAAGGGTCCTATGGAGCCACCCGTTGGTGTGCAGTCCCTGTAGAAACTATAGGATGACCCAATGACAAGCTTAGGCCCAGGCAACAAGAGAACATTACACTTGTGCACACCACATACACTATATTGCCAAAAGTATTGGGACACCCCTCCAAATCATTGGATTCAGGTGTTCCAATCACCTCCATGGCCAATCAAGCACCTAGGCATGCAGACTGTTTCTACAAACAGTTGTGAAAGAATGGGTCGCTCTCAGGAGCTCAGTGAATTCAAGCATGGTACCGTAATAGGTTGCCACCTCTGCAATAAGTCCATCCATGAAAATTTCCTTGCTACTAAATATTCCACTGTCAACTGTTAGTGGTATTATAACAAAGAGGAAACTGAGAACAACAGCAACTCGGCCACAAAGTGGTAGGCCACGTAAAATGAGAGCGGGGTCAGCACCTGCTGAAGTGCAGAAGTCGCCAATTGTCTGCAGAGTCAATAGCTAAAGACCTCCAAACTTCATGTGGCCTTCAGATTAGCACAACAACAGAGCATAGAGAGCTTCATGGAACAGGTTTCCATGGCGGAGCAGCTGCATCTAAGCCTTACATCACTAAGTGCAATGCAAAGCATCAGATGCAGTGGTGTAAAGCATGCCACCACTGGACTCTAGAGCAGTGGAGATGTGTTTTCTGGAGTGACGAATCACGCTCCTCTGTCTGGTGAACATGTTTGGGTTTGGTGGTTACCAGAAAAATGGTATTTGCCTGACTGCATTTTGCCAAGTGTAAAGTTTGGTGAAGGGGGGATTACGGTGTGGATTTGCTTTCCAGGGGTTGGGCTTGGCCCCTTAGCTCCAGTGAAGGGAACTCTCAAGACGTCAGTATACCAAGACTTTTTGGACAATTTCATACTCACAACTTTGTGTGAACAGTTTGGGAATGGCCCCTTCCTGTTCCAACATGACTGCGCACCAGTGCTCAAAACAAGGTCCATAAAGACATGGATGAGCAAGTGTGGGGTGGAGGAACTTGACTGGCCTGCACAGAGTCCTGACCGCAACCCGATCGAACACCCTTGAGCCAGGCCTTCTCGTCCAACATCAGTGCCTGACTTCACAAATGCGCTACTGTAAGAATGGTCAAACATTCCCATAGACACACTCCTAAACCTTGTGGACAGCCTTTCCAGAAGAGTTGAAGCTATTCTAGCTGCAAAGGGTGGACCAACCCAATATTGAACCCTATGGACTAAGACAGAGATGCCATTAAAGTTCACGTGTGTGTAAAGGCAGGCATCTCAATACTTTTGGTAATATAGTGTATGTGTGATAGCAATATGAGTTATGGGACATGTAGTTCTGAAGAGGGGGATCAGAGTGTTGTAAAGAAGTATTGAGAGTGCAGCCCCCGACAGGAAGTTCGGGGAATCTATGCAAAGAGAAGGTTTTTAATGGAAACGTTTGTTATTCTGAACAGAGAGTCCAACTCTGGGAAAATGAAAAATTATCACTTGCAGTGGGGCTGCTCCTTTAGTCAGAAGGGGGAGAAACTGTTATACTTACCTGATCCTTTGCTCCCCTGCCAGATGGCACTCTTCCCTGTTCAGATGGTGGCCTGTCCCTCGTAATCCTCACATCCAGAGCAGGCCTTAGAACTCTTCTCTGGTCTTGAGGACGTCAGGACTCTAGAAGCTGTGAGAACCAATCTAGCAGATGGCAAGAAAGGAGGATCAGGTAAGTATATCTCCTTTTATTGTTCCCCTAGACCAGGGGTGGGCAAACGGTGGCTCTCCAGCTGTTGCAGGACTACAAGTTCCATCATGCCTCTGCAAGTCATTGCTGTAACTGTCAGTTTTGTAATGTTGCAATGCTTCATGGGAAATTTAGTTCCACAACAGCTGGAGAGCCGCAGTTTACCCACCCCTGCCCTAGACCAAGGGTCTGCAAACTTTCCAAGCAAAAGGGCCATTTTACTGTCCTTCAGACTTTAGGAGGGTCGAATTGCAGCCGGTGGTATTCTTGGTGGTCAGAAGGGATAAAATATTACATAATGTCTGTGGGTAGTAGGAGGTATTGGTATTAGTAGGAAAAATCATTGTTGGGGTCAGTGGGAAGAATAGTGCCCCCATCATTGGTGTCAGTTGGGAGGAATTGTGTCCCATCATTGGTTTCAGTGGAATGGATAGTGTCCCAGCATTGTTTTCAGTGGAAAGGCTAGTGCTCCATCATTATCAGTGGGAAAAATAATTCCCCATCATTGATATCAGTGTGAAGAATAGTGCTCCATCTATGGTGTCAGTGGAAGGAACAGTGCCCCATCATTGGTTCCAGTAGGATGAATAGTGCTCTATCTTTGGTGTTTGTGAAAGGAATAGTGCCTTGTATCAGTGGGAGGAATATTGCCCTAAGGGCTGGAAAAAGGCAAGCAAAAGGTCACATCTGGCCCGCCGTAGTTTGGAGACCACTGCCCTAGACATAAACCAGCGAATAACCCTTGCAGTGCAGGCAGAGCCCAACTGCAAGGGATTTTTTTTCTTATTTGCCCAAAGTTGGACTCTGGTACTATTACATAAAAAAAAAAAACAAAAACAGAGCACTACTTTAAGATTTAAAAAAGCAGTACAAAAAGGTAAAATGTCGGTATGAAAAGTGTAATCAAACAGATTTCACCTCTTAAGTGAATGGACTGCTATAGATTACACAATTTTGTACACCATCATTTCTCTCTGAGTAAACCAAACTAAAATATTTTATGCTTGCACTAAATATTTTACAGACATCCTGATTTTAATTTTTTTTTCCAAAAAATGAAATGAATCTACCTACTGTAGTTCTTCCAAGATTGTACCTTGAGAAACCCCATCAAACAAGTTAATCTATGATATCTAGGTCATTCAATGTACAGCTCTAAAAAAGGACAATACAAAACCATCATAAGCAATTTTTCATATTTTCACAACTATAAAACACATTCCCTTTACCTGCACTGCAACCAGCCAGCATTTAAAGGAATTACATTTCGAAAAGAACCCAACCTTGGAAAGCTGGTGGTCACAAGGAACTTTGCATCCAATCCCCCCTCTTTTCTCTATAGATCACAAAAAAAAAAATCACAGGTGAACTGAACATTGACGTTTGCTTTGGAACAATTGAAAGCAAGTAAGGTGAGTAAGAGCAAGTTCATTTATGAGATAGTTTTGCTCTTTTTAGAAGCTGTAATAAACCCAAAACAAATATTGAACACATTGCAGCTTACCAATCCTTAAAGCGGAACTAAACTCTCTCAATCAACATTAATTTTTAATGCTTTTGCGGATAGCCTTAGCAAATAAAAAGTATATTTTTTGGTTAAACTTTTTTTTTTCCTTCAGTTTTTTTCCTGGTTTCTGCTCTTGGCCAAAATTTTGTTATACACTCAGGAATCTACCCGGGCATTTTTTTTTCTTCATCTGGAGGGGAGGAAGGCTTTCTCAGCTAAGCACACCCTCCTGCTTACATGCCTGAGAAAAGGGTAGATGGATTCCAGGAAGTAAATGCTACATGAATCAACTGCCCTTATTCAAGATGGCCACAGCTATAAATGTTAGGGGGATGTTTTTCAAGATATGGATAGATGGGTGAGTTTGCTCTGAATAATAAAAAACATATTAAATAGTGTTTTCAGTTTGTGGTGGTCAGATACAGTCAAGTTTCACTTTAAAGCAGAATGAAGGTCTGATAGTAAACTGTGAGCATGCAATGTCTCTTCTGTAATGAATTAAACCTACCTGCCAGCTCACAATGGCAGGTCACTAAAACTAACAGCTGCCCTAAAAGCAATGTGCAGAATGCATGCACTCTGCCCCACCTGCATAGGTGTGAATGGAGCCTGAGCTGCACACACGCAGCTCAGTTTAAATTCTGGCACTGCCTGTGTGCCGAGATAACTGCTCTCCTGCGCATGCGTGGGAGTAAAATAATCCTGTCCCGTACAACGAAGATGAGGGACCAAGTGAGCATCGGATGCTGATGGAAAATTAGTTTAGTGCCGCTCTAAATGTGGTGGCTAGATTCTGATTTAAAAAAAAAAAAAAAATGTATCCTAGAACTGCTTCAAAAGTGTTAGCTGAAGTCCAGTTTTAATTTGTTAACCGAGTCCATGTAAATCTGCTGGTTTAACACTGGTTTAACCAGATTGACAATGCTGCTGTTCAGGGGTGACTCATGCTGTTACTGACTGGATCACCTGGTGAAAATGAAAGAAAAAAAACCTAATATAGCCACTACATTTAAAGTAATACTAAAAGTTTAATTTTTTTTTATTTATAAAATAACAAACATTTTATATTTACCCTGCTCCCGCTTGCTGTCTCAGCCAATGAGGAGGCAGAGACCCGGGGCAGCCAAGGCTGTCATGCACATTGCTCAGCTAAATATTGAGGGGGCTGGGGGCACTCCTGCACACAGGTTTTTTTTACCTTCATGCATAAAATGCATGAAAGTAAAAAAATGTTCAGCCTTAACAACCGCTGTAAGGATTGGTAAGCTGCAACATATTCCCATTTTTGTTTTGGGGTTTAAAACCGCTGTAAATTCATAAAAGGAAGAAAAAAAAAAAAAAAAGGTTTTGTTTTATGACCCCCCACAGTCAGGTCATCAACAATTTGAATATGCAGAGAGCACAATAATTTGTTCCATATGTCTAACAAGTCATTTAAGAGAAGTAAACAAAGAAAAAAATGATGTATAGATGCATTCAATCCCCAGAGATATGTCTAACAAGTCATTTAAGGAGAAGTAAACAAAGAAAAAAAACATGATGTATAGATGCATTCAATCCCCAGAGAATGTCTGCAAATGTCTTCCTTAGATATTAGATAAAATACAATTTCTTACACACAGTGCCTAGAAAGTCACCTGGAAGTATAAATATCTTTTCTTTATAAGTGATCACATAATCTTTGTTCTCAGCTGCATAAGGGCCTTGAAGAGATGGAAGTGGAGACAGAGCAATAAACTGATCTTCCCAGTGGAAGAGTAAGCAGTGGGACCACTGGAGTACAGGCAGGCTGTTCTCCCAGCACAACTGGAAAACTGAGCTTGTTGCGATGCATTTGCACTCAAGCCTAGAGTGGTCAGTTTGAAATAAGGCACAAAGGAAAAGGATAATTTTTCATAGAAGTACATGGTACGACGGACACACAACAAGAATATGAAACACTGGGGTAACAAACACTTTAAACAAAATAAAAGAATCTGAATTGATTGTACCTCTGATTACAATGAAGGAAAAAAAGTTATATATTGCTTTATTTCAATGGCTGTATTTCTAGTTTAGTTAGAATGTTATAATTGTGCTGCATTGTGCAGCAGTTTTCTATAACGAAGGTTCCTACTCAATCATTACATTCAGCAGGTAATGTCTGCTAGGAAAAGGTTTGCGATCGGTGGATTCATACTAGTCATAAATGATGTGTAGCTTGATTTGTGTTACTCAGAGCAAGCACAGCTACCAGATCTGCGAAATGACCTAGACATTTAATGCCGTATCTTAAAGCTGAACTCTGGGGGAAGGAAGGGGGGCACAGAGGGATGTAAAAGTTTCCCTTGCAGTGGGGATCCTCAAAATAACACTTTGGGTTGTAGACAGGCCCTTGATGTCCTCACTTTCAATGCAAGACTGCTGGTCCTGCATTGTATGTGATCATCAAAATGCCTGGGACCAATTGACAGGTGGCTGGAAGAGTCTTCAGGGGACCGATTGTACAGCTGTAAGGAAGCCTAAAGGAGCAAGGGATATGTAAAACTTTTTAATATTCCTCTAGAGAATGTTTGCAATGCAGAGGGAGCCCAAATCTCCAAGGCAACTGAATTTTCTCCTCTTTCACTACCAGAGCGTTTTTTGTATTTTTTGCACACGTTTGGAAAAAATAATATAGGTCCTGAATATTATGTAAAAATCCCAAACTTTGTATATTTTCTGACTCCCTAGAGAATAGTGGTAGTTCTAAAGTTTTACGTGGCACAATAGTAGCGGTTGACAAAACGAAAAAAAGTTAATTCAAGGGCACATAAAAACGCAATATATTATACAATCTGTTTTGTAAAATATAAAAGATGAGGTTGCTCTGAGTAAATCGATACCCAACATGTCAAGCCTGAAAATTGCATCCATTTTGCACAGCAAAATTATGGTACCATATATCTCCCAAAGGTGATGCTTTAAAAAGCCCCTACAGATCATCAGTTTAGAGTTAACCATGGATAATGGGCCTAGAATTATTGTTCTCAATCTGGTGTGTGCGGTGATGTGTAATACAATAAATGTTTTCTTGTGTAGACACCTCTGATGCGAAGTGACAAACCTCTGGAGATACACAGAAATGAAAATCCTCCTACACAACACAAGTTGCACCAGTTCATTCCTTCTCTCTTTACAGCCTCCTAAAGCACATATTATGCACAGCACTGCTGATTTTCAGAAGGCATCTCATATCACACAGCACAACATAAAGCAGGGAGCCAAGTGTAATCTGAGATATGAGTAGAGGGAATAGAACCACCCCCTCTAGTCAATCTCATAGGAATACAAGCACAGTTGAGGCTGTCAATCACCTACCATGTACTGGAGGGGGACCCTCTCGGAATTGCTTGGTTTTAGCATAGACTGTCAGTGACTTGTGCAAATAGAGGAATGACAGAGCAGTCAGAAATTACAATAGGTGCTTTGGGTCAAGGCAAATGCACATTACAGAAGGATATGCATTCATTTTTCATTTCAGAAGAATCACATCCTCTGCCCTTGAGGTGATTTTTGAGAAACTGGTGACACAGCGGATGGGGTATTCCCTCCTATCCCCTCCTTTGCATTTTTGGCTGTTCATCTTTGAGTAGAAAGTTAGCCGCTTCCCGATCACCCTATAGCAGAACTACTGCTACAAGGCGCAGGGCTGCGCAAAATCATGTATATGTGATCACATATCATATGTGATTTTGCATTTCCAGGTAGGGGGCACATGGTACTCATGTGAATATGTATGCATGTATATGCAGACACCTTAATTTGGTATTCCATTATTGGCCTCTTTTGCTCATTTGGCATGGTCCTTGTTTGCTCCCTGCATCTGCACATTGGGGAAACCTGTTTTTGACTGCCTGTGGGTTCTGTCTGTCCTCCCTCCTTCTCTTGGGGGGGGGGGGGGGGGGGGGGGCTGCTTTATGCCAGGTTAGACTATTTGTTATATTGCTTTGTCTGTCCTTTTACCAGGATATCATTGCTTTTTTCTTTTCTTCTCATTGGTTTAGAAAAATGAAAAAGCTGCTTACCCACTTACCTGCAATTGGCTCCTGCTGCTGTCAATTACAGCCAGTGAGGAGGGAGTGGAGGCGGAACTGAGCCATGCTCTGCGTTCCCTATTGAAACACAAAGCTGGCTTGGGAGCAAGCATGCATGAGTGCCCCCAGAGCAAGCAGCTTCTTCTGGGGGAACTCAGCAAGCGGGAGGGACCTGAAGTGCAGGCTTGGGACCCGAGAAGAGGAGACTTGGGGATGCTCTGCGCAAAATCATTTCCCAAAGCAGGCAAGTATGATGTATTTATCATTTTTTAAAAATGCACAAAAAAAAAAAAAAAAGGTAGGTATAATTTGTTTATTATTTAAAATGTAAAAAAAAATAACCTTTAGAACCACGTTAAAGCAGCATTCACACCTAAGTGTTCTGGGAATGCGGGTATAAACACATTTCTGCCTGTTCTTCTAGAAACGCATTGCACTTGTGTTGCCATTATTCCTTAAAGTACCCTAAATGTGGATAGTAGTCGTGTTTGATGCAAAATGCTCAATGTAATCTGCTCTGGGCTCACTGACAAAAAAAAAAAAAAAAAAAGTGTACAAGCTACTTTGGCATGTTTATTGAGCTTAGTGCAGTCCTTCAAGTGAATGGGCTGCCCTATGACAGACACGCCAAAAGAAAACATGTCACACAGGTGTGAATGCGGCCTTAATACGCCAAAATAGGGACAGATTTTATGAACCCTTACTGAAAAAAAGGTTTAAGTAAACCCATTACAAACTCAAACCGAGAAAATGATGAAAATTGCATAAGCAGTTATACACAGGTTACCATTTTTCCTGTGAAATCGGTCCTACTCCTTCTGTCCTCTAGATCCTCAGCTTTAACTTTTATGGGCAGTCTTCAGAATTGAAGGTCACCATTTTCAGATCTTATTTTGACACTAGGTTTCTTACTAGAAGTATTCTTTTGCTTATGCATTATCTCCATCAGATGTTTTCTTTATTTGCCCATGCTTGTGACTGCTTTATGTAAATGTGAGCACTACTAATAGAACAAAAACATCAGCAGATCAATTTGCATCTTAAACAACTCATCCAAATCTTCTTTTGTAGAAGGATTGCCCCTTGCAAATTGTAATACTGTATCATCAGCGTTACAGGCATTGGTCTTCTATCTAGGTACCTAACTGTGTTTTTGTAAAATAAATAAATAAAAAAGGTAGAAATTGCAGCACACTGAGGCGAGCGGCATCCCTCTGTTACCATGGCGATACTGCGGCTGCTAAGCTGGGCAGCTGACAGATTTTAGTATGGAAGGAACAAAAAACGCCTCGACCCTTCATTCTCCTTGCAAGAAATTCAAGCCTTGAAGACACCCTTTCCTTCCCCCAATAATTACAGACTATCCAGAGCAGCTGGGGATAGGAGGAGGGAGCGGTCTATTGTCTGAATAGAGTCTGATGTGGAATACATCTATCTCCTGCAGCAGCTCTAATGTGTCATCAGACACTCATAAGGGAAGCAGATATGACAATTTATGTTGGATTGGGACAAGCAAGGCAATACTCAGGAAAGGGGGAAGCAGACATGAAATGAGTGATGGGCCAATGAGGTCATATCCTGACTTGGGAATATAGTGAAATGTGACCTTCCTCGCTACAGAGAACAAAGAATGTCCAATTGAAGCAGAGACACAAATGAGCTAAAGCCCTACAAGGACACCATGCCTTGAAAATGTTATATCTCGTTCATACCTACTAACAAAGAAGCACCGTTTAGACCTTATGCTGGTCATATACCACCCAGCTTTTTGTTAGTAAGATCAGTCTGAGCCTTGGTATAGAACTGGCAGTAGTGGCATGCAGACCTGTCTGTTTGGAAACCTACACTGTGTTGATTTCCATACATCAATCATGACCCCTGAAGTGGGGGAATGGCCAGAGATGGGACAAAAGTATACATTTCAAAGAAAAAAATATTCAGGTAAAAAAAAAAAAAAAGGGTAGTCAACAGTGGCAGTCTATATACTGTATTATCTCATGACAGGTTTCCAGGGAATCTAAAACCTTGCTTGCAGTGCAAGAGGATGAATGCTCCTGTCGAGAACACAGTTTCTCAACCTTTTCTCAGTCAAGGCACCCTTTAAAATTATGGACAGTCCCGAGGCACCCTTTATAATTATGAACAGTCCCGAGGCACCCTTTATAATTATGAACAGTCCCGAGGCACCCTTTATAATTATGAACAGTCCCGAGGCACCCTTTATAATTATGAACAGTCCCGAGGCACCCTTTATAATTATGAACAGTCCCGAGGCACCCTTTATAATTATGAACAGTCCCGAGGCACCATTTATAATTATGGACAGTCCCAAGGCACCCTTTATAATTATGGACAGTCCCAAGGCACCCTTTAAAATTATGGACAGTCCCAAGGCACCCTTTAAAATTATGGACAGTCCCAAGGCACCCTTTAAAATTATGGACAGTCCTGAGACGCCCTTTAATATTATGGACGGTCCTGAGCTACCCTATTCTAAAATGGGGTGCCTCTAGACTATCCATAATTTTAAAAAGGTACCCCATTCTAAAATGTGAAAACCTATCTAATAGTTTTATATAACCCAGCAACACCTACACATGTAGGACACCCAACATTAGAGGCGATTTATTCTTCCAGAGCAAATACACTTTTGCACGCTGGTACTGACTAGTACTCCAATGTTTCTCCTCTCCCTCAGTTTTTCTTCATCACTGAGCTAATGTGACCCCGGCACTGATGGAGAGGGGCAGGGGAGGGTCAAACTAGGATGCTGTGCAGGCAGCTGACATCCTCCTCATCAACTGAATACTAGTCAGTACCACTGTTCAAAAGTGTATTTGCTCTGGAAAAATAAATTACCTCTAACATTGGGTGTCCTACATGTGTGGATGTTGCTGCATTATATAAAACTATTAGATAGGTTTTCACAGTTTAGAATGAGGTGCCCTTTTAAAATAATGGACAGTCTAGAGGCACCCCATTTTAGAATGGGGTGCCTCGGGACTGTCCATAATTATAATGGTTGCCTCCGGACTGTCCATAATTATAAAGGGTGCCTCCGGACTGTCCATAATTATAAAGGGTGCCTCCGGACTGTCCATAATTATAAAGGGTGCCTCGGGACTGTCCATAATGGTGCACAATGAAAACCTGTGGCTTTGTGCAACTAAAAGGTAGGCTTGTTCCACCGCTGGCTTGTATACAAGTTTTGGGCAATTTTTAGACATTTTGCCAAGGCAATCCTGAAGAAACCTCAAGGCACCCTGGTTGAGAAAGGCTGGTCTAGACAACAGAAAAGCACTTTTACTTACCCAGGCCTCCGCTCCCTAGACAGATGACGCTCCCCTATGTTCTGTCAGTGGCCTGTTTCTTAGCGTTCTCAAGGTTCAATGCAAGGCTGCGACCCTTGCATTGGTTTTGATGACATCAGAGGTCCTTAGATTGACAAAGAATAGGGGAATAGAGGCTGCAAAGACCGGTCTATGAGCGGAGAGGAGAATGCAGGAGTGGAGATCTGGTAAGCAAAGGTGCTTACCCTAAGGTCCCCAAGTTCTGCTTTCGGCAGCTTTCACCATTGGTAAGTGGTTTGCACTAAGCACAGAGGTTGAGAAAAGGGAGGGAATGAAGAGGCATTCAACACCACTAAAATCCAAAGGGCATGCCAGGAGCATATCCACTTTATATGCTATGATACATTTAAACAAAATGATAAGAAGAGGCGAGGATACAGAAATACAAGAGCACCATGCGCCACTGAATAGCTTGCACAATGTACTGTATATATTGTATAGGTGGTGTAAACTAAAAAACTGCTATCAAACTTGTATATTTTAGGTCTTAAACAAAAAAGGCATACCAATACCACAAGAATCTGTCAGTGCACCATTATAGGTATTATCTTCCACATTTGCTGTGCAATTTTAATGGGATGTGCATCATTTTCTTCTGCTATGGGATGCCACTCATTTACGCTCTTAAAAGCGTACCCATTCTTTGTAGTTCTAATTCATGTTGTCTGGGAATTTTCTTCGAGGTCAAGTCACACAGTTATCAGTGAGGGAAGCGCTTACATCCATACAATCCTGTCACTGTCACAAAAAGGAGGCGGCAGGAAATCTGCACTACACAAGCTAGCAGAATCTGGTAGCAGACAGAGGGGAAGCAATGCTTTAGGGGAAATGAAAGGATACTTGGCAACAAGACGTGAACACACAGCTGGGAACTGGCAGCTAGTACTGAATGTTCATGCGTTGTATGCGATTCCAGGAAAGATGGATAAAGCACTGTGGTAGGATTCAGTGCATTCAAATTTGCTATGCCTGCCCTCACAGCACGGGGGGCAAATAGTGTACAGCAGGTTATTATATCTACCATTTGTAAACACCATCTTTTGCTGCTGCATTTTCATAACCAACAACCACAGCAGAAGACAAGATTGTACATAAAACAAGGACCTGCAAGCTTGGGTACCACAGAAGAGTCCTTCATAATCCTCTTACAGCCTTGCCCCATGGCTGCTACAGCAAATATTTTACAGCCACATATACAGGTAGAGGTGCAAGCAGCACACTTTAGACATGGGATTTGTTCCATGCTGGGAGTTCTACATTAGAATTCATCCAGATATTGACCCCATGCGCCTCTAGACCAGGGGTGGGCAACTGTGGCCCTCCAGCTGTTTTAGAACTACAAGTCCCATGAGGCATTGCAAAACTGACAGTTACAAGCATGACTCCCAAAGGCAGAGGCATGATGGAACTTGTAGTTCACCAACAGCTGGAGGGCCACAGTTGCCCGCCCCTGCTCTAGACTATACTGCCCCAATAAAACACCTCTATATGCAGTGGTTATGGATGTTAATGCTGCAGTAGTGTGGAGAATAATGCTTGAAGGTAGCCTTTTCTAATAAATATTCAGACAAGCAGTTGTCATGAAATAGTAACCTTACCATATGCACTTTTCATCATATGTTAAGGGGCAGCACAGTGGTTAAATGGTTAGCACTTCCACCTGGCAATACTAGGGTCATTGGTTCGAATCCCAACCATGGCACCACCTGCCTGGAGTTTGCATGTTCTCCCTGTGCCTGCGTGGGTTTCTTCCGGTTTACACACATAAAATATAAAGAGCGCTGCACAAATTGACAGCATTAGATAAGTACCTGTAATAAATAAAAAAAATATTAAGAAACGTTCAGGTTGACTAACTCAATAAACACATGGTCATTTGTTGGTGTTTAATTAAACAAGCCTGAAGCTTGCTAAAAGGCATGCAGAAGCCTGCTTAAAGCTTTGGGTTTTTTTTAAAGCTACAGGCAGCACTAACATCTGTAAAAAGCACTCCCAGTGTGGAGCTGAGGTATGTAAGAATGAAACTCTCCAAATGTCAGCATGTAAAACCTTAATATCATAAAAAGCAGCATGATCTATTACCAAAGTCTCCAAGTTTCAGTCAAATGACTTGCTAAAGCCTTGAAAGTAAGACATCATCCATATACCACGTGCAGGAAAAAGTATCTTCTTCCTGATCACGCACTGGAACCGTTAGGATACTTAACATCCTGACAGCTCACAGGGTGAAAGGCAACAAGCTGTGACCTGTGTGAGCCAACATATGTACACATCGCCAAGAAAATAAACAATACACGTAAGGGCATTTACATGAGCGTGTTATACATGGGCTGGCATCTTAAAGCGGAACTTCACCCAAAAGGGATAGTTCACTCTTACCACCCATCTCCCCCTCCTCTCACCACATTTGGAATATATTTTTTTTGGGCAGGGGAGCAGGTACTTGGTTTTGACAGGTACCTGCTCCCACTTCCATTTGGATTGGCAGATCCACCAGAAGTTCTTCCCCTCCCCCCCTTGTAACCTTCTGGGACCATCATTGGTTCCAGAGGGCTGCAAGACCATTCACAAAGAGCAGCACAGCTTGCGCACGCGCAGCCAGCTACAAAGCAGCAAGGAGCCACAGCCAGTGGGCCAGAGTTAATAATCCCAAATAATCCTGAGCTCACCAAAAATTATTTTTAACAAAGCAAACAAAAAAAAAAAAGCCCAAATATTAGAAAAATATTGCTGCTGCAAGCATCTGACATGTTTCCCACACCCAATATCTCTCAATACCCAAAAGGTGCTGCGCAACCAAAAAAATATTATAGTAATAAATACATTGAAATTGTGTTCATAAATATATCTCAGAACAGTATACAGTAAATAATGACTTGGATATCCAAATGCAAATTCATTAAAGTGCAAAATAATGTATTAAAGCAATCTTTGTAGTCCACTGTGACAATATAAATCTTCTCATGCTCCAACTGTAATGTCCACTCATCGAACAAAAATGTTCTCCCAGTATCCACTTTGTTACACCTCCGGTCACCATCACCAATCAATACTGCCCCTTACGTCCTTCACAAGCACTGGAGATTTGTGTTCAAGAAAAAATGTCCATCCTGCTCTTTCGAATTACATTGTCATTGCAGTTGAAAATGACCATCAATTTGACCCCCCCCCCCCCCCCCCCCCAACTATTAGAAATACAGAAAATCAAAAACAAACATTTTCAGATGAAATTCTACTAGTGAATGGCCAGGCTTGGTCCACAAAGAATGTGCTAACCCCTGAATGAATCAGGGTTAAAAAAAGGTTCCATCCCTCTGGTAAAAAGGAGATTATTACCAGTAGTACAAAGCTGACCAGAACACTGACTGAAAGTCTGACTGAAAGAAAAACTAACCATGTTCAGATGCTGTGCAGTGCAAAGTGCTCCTGCTCCTCTTCAGGTCCTCCAGTACTGGCTGGCAAAATCAGCAGTGAGAGATGGAGCAAAGAGGGGACTCTGGGCATTTTGTGGCAAAAAAAAAAACCCAAAACTTTCCCAAGTCAAGTGGGCTTTTTAATCAGTTTTGGGTGCAGGCGGAGGTGTCCTGCACTACATTTCCCAACACTTAAAATAAAGTCCTGCCTGCACAGCGAATTGATATAGAAGAGGTAGTGACTTTGCCTGCACCCGAAAGTGATATAATAAGTCTGGCGCATCAGTACTTCCGAAAGGTAAGATGTGTGTGGTAGACTTGAGTTCTGGCAGTAAGTGGAAGGATGGACAGGCCGATAATATTCTGAAACCTGAATCATCTCTCTCGCTCTTTTTTTTTTTTTTTTTTTTTAATTTGGGGGGCCTTGAAACAACTTTAAAGAAGTAGAGTCAAAAATCTTTTTTGTGCTACTGCTCCTGGGGATCACACTTTGTTCTACACTCCTGTGACACATATTTAGCTAACAGCAGGCACAGCCAGTTCAGACTCTGGATGGATCAAACTTAAAATGTCAGCATCCATCCAGATGCTGACCAGGAAGCTGACCCAGCCTCTCAGCTACCCGCTCTTGCCCCCTCCACAGCCCAACACTCCAGTGAGCACTGGAGGTGCACAGCAGAGGGAAGGTGACTGACAGTCTCCAGCTCACTGCTCACATGGACTTTGATTGCTCAGTTCTCATAGAACCAGTGGGGACAGATGCAACTTGGGATCAATACTGCATCCACCTAGCCAAGTAGGACTTTTTTTTTTTTTTATACTCCGCACTTTTCTTTTAACCACTTTCAAAATGACTGGGAATTGAACAATCAAAGTCATTGCCTTAAAACAAACTACCACCCATGAGTTTGATCACCTGAATGTGATCATTTGAAATCCTTTAAAATTGGAAAAAAAAAAAAATAACAACAATTTGGTCAAAAGCAATCTGATTTTCTGCCACATTTGATCAAAGCAATTTTGATCCCATTAGTTTGTGGCTTCAAGAAAGCAGCTTGCTGCAGGATTTGTAAAATTGGTCCTCTGCAATCTAGCATTTACAAGCTATGATGAATGGTAACATGCAAAAAGTGACCAAAAATTTATTTATATATATATATATTATATATATATATATATATATATATATATATATATGAGTATCTACATTTTACTTACATTTCTCACATTTAAAAGACCAGTGGAAACAGAAACAAACCCGCTGAATTCAGATCTGTGTCTGAGATTTGACGCGGGAGGTTTTAACCATAAATGAAAGTTCATCCGGTGGCCGATTAATGGTTGTGCAGCTCTAACACAAGGCTAGGAAGCCCAATAACAGCTGTAACAAAGAACAAAAAGTGCACCAATCTTGCGCATTACCTAAGTGAGTAAAGGGTGAATTTATTAAACAGATATATACTCACAAAAGTAGCAATATTAAAGCATATAAATCCAACATTAGCGTACTGGATAGCAGACACGTGCGGGTCCTATCGAGAGGGTAGACTCTCAGGATGAAGCTGATGCATTTCAAAGGGTGATCCCTTCTTCCTCAGAGCTCGGAGGACGCATCAGCTTCATCCCGAGAGTCTCCCCTCTCAATGGGACCCCGCACATGTCTGCTATCCCAGTGCGGTCATGTTGGATTTTATATGCTTTTAATATTGCTGCTTTTGTGAGTATATATCCCAATGTAATAAATTCACCCTTTACTCACTGAGGTAATGCGCAAAGTAGGTGAGCTTTTGTTTTTGTTCTTTAATACATTTAAAAGTCTGGTATCTGAAACACTACTAAAAAGGCGTCTGTGCACAATCCCACCCATATATCATAAGGCTGACCGCACCGCTAGTGCTGGAGCAGAGCAGGAAACTCTCCAAGTGCATCAATGGAGCTGCCTTTTTCCTGCATAACACATTTCTAGCTGTGGCTTTAGGTAGGTAAGGAACTAAAAAAAGCACAGTTTTCCTGATCTAAAATAAACACATCAGGAACAAAAAATAAAATAAAATACAGTACCAGGAACCAAGCAGCAAAGGGAAATCAAGCCCTTATATGACTGGTAAAAGTGGGCTACTGGATAAAATGGACAACTGAAGAAAGCTATATATTATTATACAAAAAGATGTTATTAAACATTTCTTTTTGCAGTCGAGTTATTTTCTGATGGGGGGCAAGTATGTATACAGTAGAACTGGGCTATATTTGTCACAAAGAATCTGCTTGAGTGCTTTATAGACAAGTGTTAAATATAGGGAATAATTATTCTATGGAGGTGGGTTATATTGTTGCTTTATACAAGGAAAAAATTGCTGCCACCATTTCATTCCTTTACCTTGCATGTGATCCTGGCTGTGACAGCCCACATTGGCACTATACAGAGAAATTCTGCATTGCCAGCAATCCTATTATCACCAGTGCGCTTGGCACAAACCTTGATAATCGGACAGACTGTCAGCATCAAACACACTGCCAAAGGAAAGGTGGGAGGCTTACTCAGCTCTCCCTATACATTCTTTATGGATGGCATCAAAGCTAAAATTACAATACTAAGAGAAAATGACAAACATTTCTAAAATGTACCTACAGCTACATGAAGCCTATCTGTGGGCTTCATTGTTACAAGCTATTGAGAGCTACAGAAAATACAATCGAAGGGCAAGCATTCAGGGCTGCGTGTAATGAATCAGTACAGTGGCACATGCTGCCTCCCTGTCATCAGCCACCCATGCAATTATCCCATCCAAAGAACCAGCAGAGGGTGGAGCGGGTTACATCTGAGCAATTCTAATGGAACGATATTAAGATGTCTAATGTGTTAAGACAATTTTCCCATCTTTATTTTTTATTATACAGGATTTATATAGCGCCAACAGCTTGCGCAGCGCTTTACAAAATGAAGGTAGACATTACAGTTACAATACAATTTGTTACAAAATGAAATAGAGGGCCCTGGTTGTTAGAGCTTACAATCTAGGAGAAAGGGTTGAGTGATACAAAAGGTAATAGCTGTGGGGGTGATGAGCTGATGGAGGAAATAAATGGTGGTTTACTAGGTAGGAGCAGGATAGGCTTCTTTAAAGAAAAAAGGTTTTCAGGGACGTTCTAAAAGGTGGATAGATTAGGAGACAGTAGGACAGATTGGGGTAGGGAGTTCTATAGGATGGGAGAAGCTCAAAAGGATTATAAACATGAGAGGTCAGGGGCCAAACATTTATTAAAAAACCTCTAATCTGAGAGGGAGGGTGTTTCCCTGCAGATAAGAGACTGATAATTTCACCATGCTGACTGTATTTTGGAAATTATCAATGCAAAGAACAGCAGAACATTCACAAAAATACAAGATATCACATGGGTAGTCTCACATGCATCAGGAATCCCATACTTTGTGGGAGATGCAAGACATACAGATACTTTATTTCAAGAAGGCTCTGCTGTGCTTCACATTGGCTTAGTGAAGATGTTTTTGGTTTCTTTTATCCTGTCAAAAAAAAAAAAAAAAAAAAAAAAACTCAATAAAAAGTGACATAAAAAAAGATTTAACAAAAATGGCCTTGTGACAGGTGACTAGTTCACATCTGAGATTATAGATAATTATGGTATTCTTTATTGGGATGCGCTGATTACTTTTCATGTTAAAGGCTGACAAATTAAATACATTCATTGCATGGACAAAGAAGCAATAGAAAGAACAAGGACTTGCTAATTAACATGGTTTCTACTAGGAAACAGTGAATAGATGGGTCTCTGTACTAATACACTGCAATAGCTTTCCAGACCTTACCTACCTTTGAGATGAGCAATTCTCAACTGGAAAACTAGGCTTCTGTTTACAATGGGTCAGAGGTCCAATTCAAAATTTGCCTATATTGTGACAAAACTAACTCTTCTGGATGCTGCCCTCTTTTAATTGTATGTTGGAGTCTGTAACATGTGGTTGTGGCTTGGCTGTGCATATAAAAAAGGCAAAGATTTACTGGTTATTAAATTACTTACATTCACTTATTATTTATATCATACCCACCCACTTGTGTGGGTGGTTGTATGCACGACCTGCGGCCACCCAGGCATGGAAAACCACTGGGGATTTTACACTAGAAAAATTTGCAGCCTCTACATGTCCATATGTATGAGGCCTTATTCATTTAAAGGCCACCCCATAGCAGATGCACTGCTACAGGGCGGCCGTGCTGTGCAAAATCACATACATGCATACACCACATTATAATATATATATATATATATATATATATATATATATATATACACACACACATATACACATATACATACACACACACACGTGATTTTGCTGGGGGGCACATATGCGCGGGGGCACTGACCTGCCTGAGCTGTCATTGGCTCCGAAGATGTCAATCACTGGGTCCCGGCCAGTGAGTGATTCATGGTGACTCGGTGATTGGTGGAGAAGCTGACAGGGGAGAGATCTGTGTGTAAACACCACAGATCTCTCTCCGGTCAGTGGAGATGTGCTGTTTCCATCTCTCTGCAAAGCCGTGAGATAGAAAGCAGCATGTTCCCCTAACACCACACAGTAATCACAACACAGTACCCTTTGACTGCACCCAGATGTTAACCCCTTCCTGCCCAGTGTCATTAGTATAGTTATCAGTGCTTTTTGCTATGCAGCATTGTGTTACTTTAAACGGACATTGCGTAGTCATGCAACGCTATACATAAATTAAATTTGTCATTTTTCTCCCACAAATAGAACGTTCTTTTGGTGGTATTTGATCACCTCTACGTTTTTTAGTTTTTTGTGCTATAAACGAAAAAAAAAACCCAACATTATTTTTTGACTTTTTACTATAAAACATATTATTCTGACACTGCCATCTCCAATGGTAATGGTGGCAAATCAGCGCATTCTGACACTGTGGGGAACTGAATTGGTGTCACTGACATCCGCAGTGACACCAATATAGTGATCAGTGCTAATAAAAAGCACTGACACTGTACTAACGACACTGGGCAGGAAGGGGTTAACATGTGGGGCGATCAAACAGTTAACTGCTGTTTTAGTGTGCAGGAGCTGACAGGGGAGAGAACTGTATTGTTTACATACAGTTCTCTTCCTCCATTGGTAATGCTCCGCAATCACTGGGTGCCGGCGAGTAATCACCGGCTGGGACCTGGTGATTGACAGCCGAGGCCACGAATAGCAGCGCAGGTAGGGCACGCACGTGCCCCCTTACCCCAGAAATGCAAAATCA